GGACCACGAAACGCTGTACTGGGTGTGGCGGACACCCCCACTGGGGCCTTACGTGGAGCTTCCTATGGGGACATGAAACGCTGTACTGGGTGTGGCGGGCGCATGTGCCCACCCCCACTGGGGCCTTACGTGGAGCATCCTATGGGGCGACGAAACGCTGTACTGGATGTGGCGGACGCATGTGGCCACCCCCACTGGGCCGCAGGTGGAGCTCCCTATGGGGCCACGAAGCGCTGTACTGGGTGTGGCGGACGCATGTGGCCACCCCCACTAGGGCCCTACGTGGAGCTCCGGATGGGGCCACGAAACGTTGCACTGGGTGTGGCGGACGCATGTGGCCACCCCCTGTGGGGCCGCAGGTGGAATCCCCTATGGGGCCACGAAACGCTGTACTGGGTGTAGCGGACGCATATGGCCACGTGGAGCTACCTATGCGGCCACGCGACGCTGTACTGAGTGTGGCGGACGCATGTGGCCACCCCCACTGGGGCCGCAGATGGAGCCACCCATGGCGGCACGAAACGCTGTAGGCGTGGCGGACGCATGTGGCCACCCCCACTGGGGCCTCACGTGAAGCTCCCGATGGGGCCCCAAAAACGCTGTACCGGGTGTGGCGGACGCACGTGGCCACCCTCACTGGGGGAGGGGCGAGGAGGAAGGAACGCGGGGACCGTCTCTTCAAAACGATGACCCAACATCACGGGATGGTTTGGAGAAATACGTCGCACCTTCCATTTTCATACATATATAGACATATATATAGAGAGAGAGAGAGAGATTCGGGGGCGGGGCGGGCGCGAGAAAACTGATCCTGGCGAAGGACCCAACCATATGCAATGTGACTAACGCGTTGTGGGTGCCGTTTTCGGTGGAGCTCCCGATGGGGCCACGAAGCGCGTGAGGGGCGTGCCGTACTGGGTGGAGGGGGGGGCGCATGCGGGCGGTGCCACTGGGGTTTTCCTGTGGAGACCCCTGTGGGACCACGAAACGCTGTACTGGGTGGTGGCCGACGCATGCGGGCAGTACCCCTCGCTGGAGCTCCCGATGAAACCACGAAGCGCTGTACTAGTTGGGGGAAACGCATGCGGGCGGTGCCGTTGGGGTCTGTCTGTGGAGCTCCCTACGGGGCCACGAAACGCTGCACTGGGTGGTAGCCGACGCATGCGGGCGGTGCCACTGCCAGTGGCACCGCCCGCATGCGTCGGCCACTGGGGCCTTCTGTGGAGCTCCCTATGGCGCCACGGGGGCCTTCGGAGGAGCGCCCGATGGGCCCACGAAACGCTGTACTGGGTGGTGGGTGGCGCATGCGGATGGTGCCACTGGGGCCGTCGGTGGAGCTCCCTATGGGCCCACGAAACGCTGTACTGGGTTGGGGGTCGCATGCGGGCGGACCACTTGCATTTGAGCTCCCTACGGGGCCACGAAACGCTGTACTGCGTGGGGGGAAACATGCGGGCGGTGCCACTGGAGCTTGGTGGAGCTTCCAATCAATGGGGCCGCGAAATGCTGTACTGGGTGGTGGACGAGGCATGCGGGCGGTGCCACTGAGGTCTTTCTGTGGAGCTCCTTACGGGGCCACGAAACGCTGTACTGGGTGGTGGCTGACGCATGCGGGCGGTGCCACTGGGGCCTTCTGTGGAGCCCCCTGTGGGGCCACGAAACGCTGTGCTGGGTGGTGGCTGACGCATTCGGGCGGTGCCACTGGGGCCTTCGGTGGAGCGCCCGATGGGCCAGCGAAACGCTGTCCTGGGTGGTGGCTGACGCATGCGGGCGGTGCCACTGGGGTCGTCGGTGGGGCTCCCGATGGGGTCACGAAAAGCTGTGCTGGGTGGTGGCTGGCGCATGCGAGCGGTCCCATTGGGATCTTCGGTGGAGCTCCACATGGGGCCACGAAACGCTGTACTGGGTGGTGGCTGACGCATGCGGGCGGTGCCACTGGGGTCGTCGGTGGGTCTCCCGATGGGGTCACGAAAAGCTGTGCTGGGTGGTGGCTGGCGCATGCGAGCGGTCCCGTTAGGATCTTCGGTGGAGCTCCACATGGGGCCACGAAACGCTGTACCGGGTGGTGGCGGACGCATGCGGGCGGTGCCAGGTGGGGCCACGAAACGGTGTATTGGGTGTGGCGGACGCGTGTGGCCACCCCCACTGGGGCCGCAGGTGGAGTTCCCTATGGAGCCCCAAAAACGCTTCACTGGGTGTGGCGGACGCATGTGGCCACCCCCACGGGGGCTTTACGTGGGGTCCCCTATGGGGCCCCAAAAACGCTGTACTGGGTGTGGCGGACGGATGCGGCCACCCCCAATGAGGCCTTGGGTGGAGCTCCCTATGGGGCCACGAAGCGCTGTACTAGGTGTGGCGGACGCATGTGGCCACCCCCACTGGGGCCTTACATGGAGGCCCCTAGGGGGGCCACAAATCGCTGTACTGGGTGTGGCGGACGTATGTGGCCACCCCCACTGGTGCCGCAGGTGGAGCTCCTTACGGGACCACGAAGCGCTGT